TGTCTGAAGAGAAATCCAACGGAATCCAATAGTCTCAGAATCAGCAAAGACACAACAGCTCAGACTGCCTCATAATATCTAGGATATTAAAGAGGGTTCTCCATCTATAGATGTGAATTACTATACCTTCTTGAGGGCCAAGAAGAAAAGGCAGTAAGGCAGTTTTATACATTATATTCAGATTAATTAATCCTACGACATTAACACTATTCTACTAAGTTATGCACATAAAAACAGTAACTTAACCTGTTCTTTTTGAAGTGTTTCACTTCTGTTTTAATTTAAAATAAATTAAAATTCAAAAGGAGGAAAAGAGTAGCATGTAGAACATAAAAGCTGAACAATTCAATGATTGCTAGCCTGGAAGGGTGGATTCCCTTCCAGGGATTGAGGAAGAGCAATACACAAAAAATAAAGCTAGGTACTTCTAATATCCAGAATTGCAAAAAAAATCTGAAAGGATGGTTTCTGAGTTCTGTCTTCACAGTCATTACATTTATTTGAAAGACAAAAGCAGGATTAAGAGCAAAATATAATCAAATTTTATGTACTGCTTGATCTAACATTTGTTTTTTAAAGGCAGCTGTATTTCGTACACCAACCTCATAGTTTTCTACCTCTCCATCTTCCACATCCAACTCAAAGCTGAAAGCTGGTCCAACTGCAGGTGGCACTGGAAGCATTGATCTACCACGAGAGCAAACAATGATAAGGTTCAGCATCTTGCTGAAGGAAAGCACAGAAACCTCTAGCAGAGGTAAAGTTACCGTATTGATCCCTCTCAAATCAACAAGTTCCCAGAACTGGTAAAAATATTAAGTTTGATGTCAAGAACAGATATTTGAAGTGAAAGAGTCAAATGTAAAAGCTAATTCCGCCACTTTTTGACACTCAAGAGTGCTGCTTTTTTAATTACATGCATGTCTCAACTAATCCTTCCAACCAGGCTAAGCATTATCGTAAAAACTAATATCTTGATTATCACAGATTATGGATTGCTAAAACTGACGATGGATTGACGTTTTGGTTTTAAGTGTTTTATTTTTTTAAGCGAATAAAATATCAACAAAGATAAGGAATCCTAAGTTCACTTAGCTCTCCAATACAAAAACCCTGAAACTTTTGTAAGCCTAAAACACACAATGAAGATAAACAGGATATGCTACTGGACCAACTTCCACACTGAAGGCAAGCACAAACTCACTTTCTCACATACTGTGTTGTTGGTAAAAGCAGAATCTCTTCAGATAGAGGCAAGAGAGAGATGTTTTTCTGGTTCTATATTCAACAAGTGTTTTTACGCCCCAAGATAGTCCTATGGGTCAAAACTTAACACAAAGGCATAGAAATCATAAATTCACAGCACTAAAATACACTAAAATCCCACTAAAGTCATCTGAAATTGCTGTGCCACATCGTGTCCTCAATGGACAGGCAAGAAGCTATGATATCACTCTCAGACTGTAAGATGCAAAGTTGAACAACTTCACTGGATCAGATTTCTGGTGCCATTTTCATGCCACGTCTGAAAGTGCACAGAGAGAAATCACAGATCTAGTGCCAATGTTTGATTATTTCCTTGTCAATGTCACCTTTGCAACCAGAAAATCTTTGTTTTCCAAACATCTCATACTTATTTCTGAAATAGAACATAGAAGAGTAATAAATCTCATGTGATACACCCAAACTCCCTACAGACGGTCTACCATAACACCCTACAAATAACTCCTTAATGTTAATAGTCCCACACATAGTCCAGAAACAGCTAATCAGAGGCTGAACAGAAATCCAACAGCTGTTACAGATTAGCAGTTCGCCCAATAAAGAGTAACACATCACAGAAAGCTCCCACCCTTGTGTTTCGTAATTAAGAACCAAACCAAATGAATTTATGGCATAAGTGAAGATTCCTCGGACTTTATCCTACAGTGTAACCAGACCTCTGTGAGACTATCCAAGAACCAAGTTTTAAAATTTGTTGAAGATTTTATGAAGAGTTCAGAAACAAGAGGCTACTGTGCCTCAAAAACCCTACAAAACTACATTGGATAAAACTGTTCACTTATATATTTTTCCCTGCTCAAGGGTGTATGTTATTCAAAATAGGCTCAAAAATTTACACAGAAATGGAAGTTTTCCTCCTCTTTGGGACAGCTGATCTATGCCTGTTCTCTGGTAGAGTACAACCATAAAACGTGCCCAGACTCTTGTTGAAAGTCATGTGACTTCTTAATAGCCTACAGGGAAGCAAATGTACTTGGAACTTACAGCACGTAAGGTAAAAGGCTGGGATGGTAAGGGTGTGGTGGTATTGGCTGCTGTGATCGGTATCTGCTGCGCCCTGTGAGTCTTCGAGGCATAAAAGGTGGGTAAGGCTGCAAGAAATAAGAAAATAAGCTTCAACTGGAACTTGTGGAACTGGAACTTGCGTCCAGTTCTGGGCTCCCCAGCACAGAGAGACATGGACATACTGGAGCGAGTCCAACGAAGGGCCACTAAGATGGAACTGGAGCATCTCACATATGAGGAAAGGCTGAGAGAGCTGGGAGTGTTCAGCCTGGAGAAGAGAGGGCCCAGGGAAATCTTATCAATGTATACAAATACCTGAAGGGAGGGTGCAAAGAAGACGGAGCCAGGCTCTTTTCAGTGGTGCCCAGTGACAGGACAAGAGGCAGTGGGCACAAACTGAAACACAGGAGGCTCCGTCTGAACATCAGGAAACACTTCTTTACTGTGAGGGTGACTGAGCACTGGCACAGGTTGCCCAGAGAGGCTGTGGAGTCTCCATCCTTGGAGATATTCAAAAGGTGACTGGACACGGTCCTGGGCAACCGGTTTTGGGTGGCCCTGCTGGAGCAGGGGGGTTGGACCAGATGACCTCCCTTCCAACCTCATCCAGTCTGTGAGTCTGTGATTCAACATTTTTTTTTTCTTAATCATAAAATAAAATGAAATCTCAATATTGAAATCCACTTTCAATAAAGTATTACTAAAAAAATCCAGCCTCTGCTCAAATTCAAAAGAACCTCAGCCTCAATTTGACATGGTTGCCATCAGTAACACACAATCATACCATTCCATGTGAAAAAAGTAGTAACACACAACAGAAATCCTTACAATCTCTTGTATGCTTAGCCTACATGTAGGCTGGTTTGGGAAACAGGACTTGAACTGCTGACTCTCTTGTAAATATACAAGCCCAGGCTTTAGGGCTGGTATTATTACGCAGGCTTGTGCACAACTGGTTGAGTAAAGAAGCCTTTAAAAAGAAAAAAAAAAAGTCTTTAAAAAAAGATTTTAAGAAAACTTCTTTTAAAAAACACCCTAAAACTTTCAAGCAGTGGTGTATATTTACATCTACGTTAAAGAAAGGTTGAAGCCTTTCAAGTGTATGTGGAGAGTTTAATCAATGTAATTTCTGCAGCTGGACAACACCTAAAAAGACAGTCAAGCCTAAAGCTTCAAAGTATTCTTTCCATGGACAACGTCATATTTTTTTTCATTTGCATGCGAAGCTCTTTACTCATATATTTAAGTTTTCATTATAATTGTTCAAAATTCTTTGCATTACTCTCTAAATTGGGGACATACATGGTAAAAAATTTCCACTTAAATGTAAACTGTATTTTTCCAAAACATTCAAATCATTAATTTTTTTCCAGTAATTTTTAAAACTGAAATTCATATATCACTACTGAATCAATATTTGAAGGCCTTCAGATTTTTTTTTGTTTTTTTAAACAAGGAACATTCAAAGTCTTCACTAACATGTTTTTCTTCTTCCGTGTTTGAAATTTAAGAAAATGCAAAAGTCCAACACCATCAATGACTAACCTAAAACCCCCTAACTTGACAATGGAAATATTACTAAAAGGTAGCCATGGTAATACATAAAATTTATGTGTGAATATAAACACAATGCAAAAGAGCCAGGGTCTTTTTCTTGAAAGTAAGATCTCGAATTAGACAAAGCAAATACCAATTTACTGCTTTGTGAATTCTGCAGTCCAAAACTATAATTAGAAACCGCTGAGTCCACTGAATGAGTCAGAAACGCAGCCATTCCATCATAATTTTAATATTAAAAAAAAAATAAAGATTTAGGATTACTTTATAAAAGACCATATGATTATTTGTAATACACCTCTATTCTACTCCTCAGCGACACACAACCCAGAATTGAAGCATCAGAGGACAAATACTATATAATCTGCAAAAAAATGGTATTTTGTTCCTTATCTACTTTAAAGACTGAACTTGGAAATCAAGAAAGCCTCACTCCAACCAAACTGTTTGTGATTAGACCGTAATTCATCTAACAAGCATACTGAATAAAACACAAGCATTTTATGAAAGTTTTTAAGTGTCTCTGTCTCCAGAGTGTCTCATAGTGACCGAAAACTTCACTGAAAATCTGTACACCTTTAGTTTAACAATGGCCTGAGTATTTTTTTTAAATAGTAGAGACTTATTTGAACCTTTATAAAAACTGCAGCAAGCATTTAACTAGGTTATGTGATTTCAAGGACAGTAATTAAAGAGAAGTTATCTGTATATTCTATAGTCACAGAGTATAATATTTCCTTCTCATTTAGAATTTTAAATAACAATATGCCTCTAAAACCTTCTGTCAACTTAACACGCTGGTCAAACATTAAAAAAATTTAGAGCCTATACTTCTAGTTATTTCTTCAAACGTTACACAGGCAGGAGACGTAGGTTTTTTTTTTTTAAAAAAAAAAAACACAAAACAACAACAACAGAAACATCTCAGCACTAACGTAATTGCAGACTGAAGTGCACCACAAAGATCCTCAACATGGCAGTGATACTAGATGCACCACAAAAGCACAAAACTCAGCACACAACTGATCTCGCACTGTTTCGGGGTTTTTTCGTGCTGCTGCAGGTGAACTGCCTGTACGTCCCCAGAAAGCTGGCTAAAGCAAGCTTGGCTGTCTTTTTAACGTGGTGCAGTCTAAATTATGGAAGCACTCTACACAACTGCTTGCCTGCAAACTGCAAACACTCTGGAGAAGAACTATTTTTAAAGCATTCTAGCTTTCCTGACTTGTGGAAACTCAACATATGATGAAGAATTAGCTAAAAGTGACAGCAGCTTTTCTAAACTGTACTCATTAGTTTCTGCAGTAGAAATCCTGGACTGTGGCGCAACATGGAACATATTCCAAGTAACTGCTACGACACTCTGCAAATAATGTTATCAGAAATCATTTGTTGGTATCAACTTAACTTGATTAAAACAAACTTAAAGGAAATACCACGGTATGCAGCTATAGCCAGTAACGGAATACAACTGCAAGAAGTGCCACTTTTGAACAAAATGTAGTATAGAATAAACATCAAGAATGTTAATGTGGCAAGAACGAGAATGTAGCACAAAAGCCAATACTTACTACACCAAATGACATCTCTTGGTGTAAAGGATCGTGGGTTAAGAATTGGAGAGGAGCTGAAGGAGGCAACGTTGGTGGATGGGCTGAAGGAGGATATGTAAAACCTCCTACAGGAAGATGTTCTCCAAGCAGCTCTACTTCATTTTCTATCCTTTGAAGTGGCTAAAAAAAAAAAAGAGATAGCATTTGTTGCAAAAATAGAGATGTAATTTTTCCCCAATAAAGGACTGCACTCCCAGCTGTATCTTCTGAGGTCAATTTTATAGGGTAAAAAAAAAAAATTAAAAAATTACAGGTATAATTGTACTTAGTTTCACATAGTAACTCTGTGAATATTTCCTGTGTCATTACCACTACCAAAAGCAAAGCCAACACTACACATTTGATATAAATTCACCTTTTCCAGCTAGCCATGCTTATAGACTAGGAATTTATACGCTCTAGTAAATATAGGAGTGGCTGTAATTTCCTGTGTCTTGCATTTTTCAGGACAAATATTTGCTCTCCTGCTTGACAGGCTGTTCTTACAGTACAACTATGTGAGAGAAAAAAATAAACAACCACAGACAAGAACTGAAATTGTGGAGAGAACTGGAAAGCGGAGAGGAAACGTGGCAACTCCAGTGGATTAAACTACTAATGATGTTCAGTAATCAAGCAGATGCTTTCCTAAGAGGGTCATGAAAGCAGTCGTACTAAGAATACACAGTGTGGAGGTTTCAGAAGCATGAGATTCCAGTTCAGTATTGTAATCTAGTCACTTGTAGTACATCAGTCAGGCACAAAAGTGCTCAATAAATAACCAAGAATTGTCACTGTTTCATTAATACACTTTTCCAATCCTGACACTGAATTCCACCATTTCAAGAAATTCAGCTAAGAAAGCCACTTTGTAGAACCAAAGGAATATTCTGTTTCCTTGTTATGCAAAGCAAGCTCTAAACACAGGTATTCTTAAATCACTAAGATACAAGCTTTTTGCCAGAGCTGAAAGTTGACAGGCAAGCCTAGTCAACAACCTATGTAAGCAATACAAGCTAAAATCCAAGTCCATATGTTTTCTGAAGGCAAGTCTTACAAAGATTACCACTGAAAACTGTGTTTTCCCAGCTTTTCTCCTGTCACAACAAAGTGATTACAACCCTATCCACACCTGAGACATGGCATGGATAAGTCTCAGCAGTGTCTGTAAGTAACAATTCAGCTGTTTTTTATTTCTGTGTTAGCGAAATACTGGGATCTTCTAGTCAGATGGGCAAACAAATGGACACAAGTATACAGATAACCCCACAGTAGGAGCTGTAGGCTAGAACTGAAAATCAAATATCCCCCACATCCAAAACAGGATGACATTTTCGCAGGTTTGCATCGTCCCTGTCACTAAGCCAAGTTTGCAAGTAAACAGAAGGCATCAACAACTTTTGTAAGTGGAGAGGGATGAGGGGAAGAGAAAGGGAAACTGTAGGCTCCTCATGATGCGTGGATGAACTAAGGTCATATGTTCTAGAAAAAGCACTGGTCATTTAAAAATTAACTGAGAAGTAATACAAAAGAAGCACGTAATGAAAGGAACATTTCGTGCTTTCTTCTCTCTCTGCTAAGCTTTTCTCTGAGACAACTACACAACCTCCTATGGATTCTCTGCTGCTTTCTGAAAGAAAAACCTGAAGAAACACTTGGTGAAGCAAATGTGCATCTTTTTGACAGAAGTAAAGGCCTATGGAGAAATGGCACAGACAACAGCCGATGAAATCTAAAGAGAAACATGGTGAGCTTCAAAATTATTTTTTCATCTTCACACTACTTGGTTACAGACTTGCTAAGGAAGCGTAAGTGCAAAACCCTATTACTTGAAACAAAATCTTTCTGTTTCCTCAATCAGGTATCAGCACTATTTGCCCATCCAGCCCTACCAATTCTACAGAGAGGGGGGCAAGAAGCATTACTTACCGACCGTGACTGCTGTGCTTGGAAAGGAACGAATTGTCCAGGAGGAGGTAAGTGAGGAGGGTGGTGTGTAGAGATATGAGGAGGATGCAAAAGGAATGGGTCACTAGAAATGAGGGGTGGAAATGCTGCATACGATACAGGTAGGTGCTGGACTGAGCACGCTTGGAGCATCTAAAATAAAATGAAAACAACATATTTTATTTTTAGCACAAACATTCCCTATAGAACATTCTATATTTATTGCCGAAAGATAACTTTAAAACAAAGCAGTTCTCTTGCCTCCTTGGAAAAGCCTCTGAAACACACATAAATAGTAAACTATTTAAATAAACAAGGAACAGTGATTAGTACAAAACAGGCTCTAGAAGTACCATAGCATGACATCTGCTAGGTGCAAAGTAGCTCTCACTTCTCATGAGGTCAGTGGGATTTGGGATTAGACAGACTCCCAAGTGATGAGCAGATACGTTTATCTTTCCCAATTTTATTTTTCCCAGATAATAACTTCAAAACAACATGCCCAAGTAATGGCCTTGCAACCATTTTAAGGTGTAGATGGACCTGAAGGTCTCCCAGAGCTGTCAGACAGTGCCTTAAAACCTCTGTTGCCTCATATACTAAGAATAATTGATAAGCTCTGTTCAGTTCTGCACTTTGAGGGGAGTCTCATGCTCCGAAGACAGTTCCCTAAGTGACAGCTACTGTGGGAAATGGCCCTTTTTCTCTCCTCTTTGAAGTTCCTCATACAAAAGCAACTTCAGGCACTAATGTTTGAACATTACAGTGATGAAGGCACTGCAGGGGAGCAGGAATTTGTCTTGTGGAAGTGTTCACTTTATTTGTAACTCTAGATATGGAGAAGCAAGAAAACCTGCATTCTCTTTTTGTTGCTCTTTGATCCATCATCAGAATGTCAGGCATTTCTGTTACATTTTTGACAATTAAAAAAGCAGTTAATATGATACTTGTTATGAAACTTTACAAAGAAAGAGGACTCAGTTCTGATCTCTCACTTTTTTTCTTTTAGTTGTCTCACACAAGATATATTGTGCATACTGACTATAATGGCATAAAATGGTAAAGAAATCTAGTTTAAAATCAGATTACACTAGTGGAGGTGGAACTATCATCTCAATTTACTGTGATCATGACCAAACATAAATCTTTGTATGCACTGAAACAGCAGCAGATTGATTTGATCTGACTACTGTTTTTTCTTATATGCTAACTATTCTTCACTCTCAGCTACCACATTGTTTTTCTAAAACGCAAGTGTTTCCATTGTTAAAATAAATATTTTATTGTATTTTACTAAATTGAAAACCATTCTCTGAAATTTTGGAAGATAAATTTGCAGATAGAACATCATACAGTGTTCTTCAGAACAGGAGGTACTTTGGGGATCATAGTAAAACAGGTTTCATGCCAAGATTCTGTATGGTAAAGATTACCGCAGCTTCAATCTATGTTTGGAACAACCTGTGCTGTGCCCATGGCCCTTTTTAAGTTACGGCAAATGAGACTGCATTATCTTTCAAGTGGAAAGAAACAAAAACTACCTGTTTATTCATTCAGGCTTTTGGAAAACTTCTGTTGTTTAAACGTATGCTTCCAAAAAGTGTTAAAACTGCCGAAAGTATTTCATAAATGGCATTTGTTAATTTACAGTTACGCATGCATTGAGAGACACAAATGTCGTGAAAGTAACAAAAGGATACTGGGAAGTTCGCAGACGAAGCTAGCAAGCAATCTGACAAACTGGAGGGCAGGGCTACCTTTCTGATACACTTTTACCGGCTGGAGAAACCGGCAGGAATCATGTGAAGTTCAAAGGCAAATGTGAAGTCTGGCACTGGGAGAGAATAACTCCATGGAGCAGGACACTTTGAGACTAACCAGCTGGTGAGCAGATTTGCAGAAAAAAAGTTGAGTTCTGGTGCACATGTCAAATAGGAGTACACAAGAGCCACAGTGTAATTCTACAGTCAAAAAGGCCTACTGCACACTAGACTGCATTACTAAGAATGTAACTAGCGGGTCCAGTGAAGTGATTCCAACCCTCTGTCTGCAACTTGTGAAACTAAATCTCAAGTCCGTTTTGGCCTTTCCAGTGCCAAAGAAAGACACTGACATACTGAAATGAGTCCACTGAAAGGCAACATGATGACCAGGAACTGGAGCACACTGCAAAAAAGAAGAGGCTGCAGAACTGGATTTGTTCTGCCTTAAAAAGAGAAAACTAAGCAAAGACCTTGCCACTGTCTTCAGCTACTTCATGAGAGCGGATAGGCAGAACCTGACTCTTCCTTGAAGGGCAAAGTGAAAGGACAAGGACCAAGAGGACCAGGTTGCAGCAAAGAAAATTCAATCAGACACACCGAAGAAATCCTCCACCACAAGGATAACCAAACACTGGAGTGGAGGCTTACAGGGGTTGTGAAATCCCCATCCTTTGAAACCGGTACCACTCTTAGCAGGTAAGCACTAGATAATGTCCAGAGCTCCCTCTTAACTTACATTGTACTTCAATTCTATGACATAATAGAGGAAAGCATAAAGTCTGTCTGCTGACGTTATATAAACACAACCTTAATTCTTTATACCCACTTGTACTGCCTCCATTCTTTCAACACACTTGATTAACTGTTGTACATTGAGTTCAAACAACCTGATTAGAGCTTTACTCCTGTGTATGTTCGAAGGACAGCTACACAGTTGAATTATAAAACATTTTATGAATTGCACAGATAATGTATCGTTCAAAGCAGAGGGTAAGATTATTAGTATTCATTGTTTGTATTTCCCTAAGCCTCAGTAAAGTTTTAGCTTTTTCCCTGTTGCTATTTCTTGGGACATGTTGTTTTCTTGCCTTGCTGAATTTACTATGCAAGCATTGTTCCGATCTCTGGGTATCCAGTCTGAGATTGCTTTGCTCCACTAACACCACTAAATAGAAGAAAAAAGTTGTCTCTGATTCTGCCTCAAGGATACAAACTGACTCATTTAACAGATTTTCACTAATCTGAAAAGTAAGGGGAAATATTGCCCACAAATATTCTGTATTGGCCAGCAGTAGGTTGCTGACCTTGTCTCTCATGGGGATACACAGCATCTGGACAAGATGAATGTAAATCACCCTCATCCTTCACTGAGCAGCTTAAAGAAATAGGTGGCCATGTCAAGGATTTGTTTCAGTGTCATAGGCTTCTTCATGCCCTTAGGCCACAGAATATGCAACAGAAAAAGTTTAAGCACAGCTGGCAGAGACTAATGTTTATATCAATATTATAAATGGTTACTGAACACATAGGTTCTATGTATGTTATCCAACAATGAAGGGGTTAAAATTTAGTGTAATAATTTTGTGAAGGGTTTAGTAGGTGGTTTCCACATACCTAAGCAATGTAACAAGATGAGCATCCAGCATCCTTGAGGCTGCCAGAAGTGATTAGAAGGGAGATTCTTTACCAAGAACTGTCTGCCCTTGAAGGGAACATCCCAAAAAATGGATAAACTTTGTTCTCGTGTTTTCCTGAATTGTGAACACGCGCAGCAGTGACTTGGGGAAAAGGTAATTCCGGCTGGGGGAGATGGGGACCACTGACTCACAGACCACTGACCCTAAACATACCCCAGACCCAAAAGAAAGAGCGGAGGAAAAGAACTGAGCATGGGGAGTAATTTACATGTAAAGCAAGAGAAAATTAAGAGAATAACAAGGAACGTGTAAACACGTTATGAATATGCATGATTGCAGTGTATAACTAAGTTTCTGTCCATGGGCCAGGTGTCCATGCCAGGAGGAGATACCCTCCGTGCACCCGGTGTTGCAATAAAGTAATTCCGCTTTCTAACACTGCAAACTGTGCTAGAGAGTTTCTGTCCAGATTTTCAGTGACATGTATGATATTACAGATTCATACTAGAAAAAGCAGGGGGAAAAAAAACAGTTGTGACTCTTCAAGGAGGTTCTGTAACCTTCATCTGTACAGCAGAATCTTCTTAGGGTACTCTTCTTCAGCTCTGGTGCCTGTTAGCACTTAATGAGGAAATTTTTGCAGAAGGGTAGCATCAGAATGCTATGACCTGGAAAGCGGTATCTCTGAACTGACACAAAAATTTCTGAGAAAACAGTTCAAATTCGAATTTGAAGCTAGCAAATTAGCCAGTCAAGCCATTTTATTTTACTCCCAGAAAGACACAGAGAGACATCACTACTAAAGAATATTTTGATACCTTTTAAGAGAGCATTTTGAGACAGAAAAGCCCTTCTCAGCTTTTAGTGATCTTTCAGGATCTTATTGCTTCTCAAAAAAACCCTGACTTTGGAATATCAGACCTTTTTGTATACAAGAAATGCCAGAACAAGGTCTCTATTAAGAAAGATTTTTTTCTACGTGAGCTGCCTAATAAAAGTCTTAGAAACCTTCCTCTTACTCTCTGAAAGTATGCAGAATAGCTGCTGCTAAGAAGTCAGTTCATAAACTGGCATTTAGTTCGAGTCAAAAATCATCAGGACTCTATACTATGAACAGTCATACTCTATAAAGACAGCAGGTAAGTACCATATGCTTACCAGCTCGCTCTAAGGTCTACACTGTTACGCCACTGCATCTTAGCACAGTGCAAAAAAAAAAAAAAGGCTATTTCCAACAATTAAAGCCACACAGACACTGAAGCTCCAAGATATCATTCCTATATCAAAGTCTGAAGCCGGTGTAATTACAGAGGCCCACTTACTGGGGGAGGCACACTGCAAACTGGAAGGTGCTGCCCACTGAAAACCACTGAGCATCCTGGGACCTGCTGTGTGCTGCAGGCTGGGATGTGCTGGCCTGTGCAAAGTGGTATCCCATGTGGAGCCACCGTTGTCACTGTGTAGGAGACAGGAACTGTGCCCTGATGGATCTGCAGCAAGTAGAAAAAAAAAAAGTAACTTACCATAAGCTCTTAACAGTGTTGTACAGCACAGCGAGATAATAAGCTTTTACTCATGTATGAGAAAAAAATACACTCACAATGAAGGTGTAAAAAGAGGCACACGCTTGTAATTCCTGTTCGTTAAAATGTTCTTCTCAATGGAATATTACTTATTGATCAGCAGTTTCTGGGCAAGGCCAAGAGGGATCTCTCAGCTTAAAACGCTAAAACTTCCAAGGCACCTTAAGAGTCACTTAGAAGCATTTCAGACTCTATTAAAGTCTGCCCCCGCTGACATACTAAGGTTAATCTCTTAAAAAATAAGAAGGCAGTAGCTCCCACATAAAAGCTAACCTACAAGTAGCTAAAGAATCTTCTCAGCTCTGAAGGGACCGATTCAATAATCATTCAGAGACTTGTATCTTTAAAGAACATGAAAATTGCATGGATTTTCTTTCTTCCAAAGAGACCAATCTCTTGATTCACTCTCAGATCAACACTCAAGCTAAATCTCCTAACCTAAATGTAACAGTACAGTTAACCAGAAAGCTGAAAAGGAAAAGTAAACATGACTATGAGGCAGTGGACCCTTAGTATCCACATTTGTATCAGGAAACAGACCCATGTACCTCAGTTTTCTAGCTAGTGACATTCCCCAGTATTTAATCATCAAACTAAGATCCAAAGGTATTCTGGACCTACAAACCACTTGTGGCTTTTCTGGTTTTGGTTTGTTGTTGTTTGTGTGTTTTTTTTTTTTTTAAAAAACCTAAACAAGAAATATCTGATGCTGTAATAAAATCGAAAAGGCTTAAGTGTCAAGGAGCATGGATAAATCAAAAGTAATTATTTCAAGGAAGCTCCCTTTTCCTTTGTGATCTACTAATATAGAACCTGCTTGCTTAAAATGGAACAGGAAAGAACATCTCATTAGGAAGATGAGAATGAGTAAAGGCAGCAACCTACTGAACTGTTAGCACTCAGACACAGAGGCCAAAACAGAACACAGATCACTGAACAGAACTTAAAATCTTGACCTGTATATCTTCTGCGACTTGGGCAGTGTGGCTACGGCACTTGTCAGTGAAAACAGAGGCAAAAAATCATTGAGCACCTCAGCCTTCTCTATATCCAGGGTAACCAGGTCTCCTGCTTCCTTCTAGAGAGGACCCACATTTTCCCTAGTCGTCCTTTTATCACTGACATACCTACAGAAGCTTGCCTTGTTGCCCTTGATGTCCCTGGCCAGATGTAATTGGCAGAATGACAGAAACAGTCTCAGGGGAGACAGAATTTGATCCAGTTCTGGCTCAGATACAAAAGTCTGGCACACAGGGCAACACTGGGTGTGATTCTGAAACGTTCACTGCTCGCAGTAATAACAAAAAAGGACCTCTTAAAACGGTGATGTACCTGAAAAATATAACGTTACCATGAAAGACCTCAGCGAGTCTGGAAACATTGAAACCTGATCACAGATGGTGCTTGGAAGGTAGAGGCAGTAGGACGGAACAACTGTTTATGTAGGCTTGTCAATATGTAATCTTGCAACACAAAACAAGAGCACAATTTGAATTTTTTAGGATGCTGCAGCAGTAAAATTGGTCATCAAAATACAAGGCTATGAGAGGGCTAGAATGGTGTCAGCTTCCGCCCTTGTACTTGGTCCCAAATACCAGTATCTCCCTATTGAGAACTGCTCTGCATACATAATGCAACGCACCAGTGGTATGCAGCTGCGCTGAATGCAAACTAGTTTTTAAGCAGTGATGTTAGAGTTGCATTCTATGCATGTGCATTCTGAGAAGCGGACACTTAGATAACCAGTTCTATTTCCCAGTTCATGACTACATAGCAACTAATGCACTTGTACTGCAGCCTGCTGATTCACCAAACAACAACAAAGGTTACCTCAATAGGACAACTTCTTTTACAGGTCCTCAATTACAGAATTCTATACCAATTGCTGTCACACAGAGGAATTATTTACTTTCTGGACCAACCACATATCTCACTTTTTCATGTCATTCAAGGAAGAGTTGATTCGGCTTAGATGGCTAATTTGGTCATCTGACAATATTATCATAAGTTCTGCTGTCATGTAGGCAAACAATTATAGGCATTGTGAATTCTACTTCTAAATAATTTATTTAAGCTGTTTAAAGACTCTTAAGCTAAGGAGAGGTATTTCACATGAAACAGAATACATTCTTATAGTATCACATCTTTATCACATTAAATTAACTTTAGAAGTAAAATAACTGTATTTCAAAGGTTTGAGCCAGAGGCCTACAGAACCATGCCAATACATGGATGGACAAATTGTTAGATATCATTCTTTATTAAAAGTCTGGACTCTCTTTTTGTTTTTTTTTTCACTGCCTACTGCAGTGCTCCATACACCAATAATGTTCAACAGGAAAAATGCTCTGTAAGTGGGCAAACAGAATCTAGTGTTATTTGACTTTCATTGCCAACTAATTTGGAGAGGAGAAAGATCTTTAAGGTTTGGGCTGGGCAGGAACCACAAACCACCTGATCTTTGACACTCTTTTTTTTGTACTCTAAAACTCTTACCTGATCATGAATGTCAACCATCACTGCATTCTGCTGTGGTGGGTGAGCAGCTGGGTGCAACATACGAGGAGACACATTCGGTGGGTGAAAGGCTCGGGGCTCTTCTATTGCTTGCTGCTGTCCATAGGAGAGATGGTGATAGTTTTCATCCTGGCTAATGGAATTATGTCTAGACAAACGATCTCTCCTTGTTCTCTGACGTCGAACAGGAGGACTGGAAACGCATTAAAAAAAATTAGAGATTACATAAATGACACAAATTTTTCTTAATAACTAAAACCACAAGAGAACCAAGTAGCCACAATTTTTTTACACTGGCAAATTTTACTAAAACAGGTTTATTAGATTGGAATAAAAATTCTGACAAAATTGCCAAAAACCTTAGAGATGGCACTTTTTTCAGTATAAAGAGCATGGCTTAATGCTGTAAAGGAAACGAGAAGAATTCTTATGTAAATATTAACCCCTTAAAAAACCGGCACTTGGACTGCCACGGCAAGTGCTCTGTAGTCAAGACAGCAAACTTCAAGAGATTTCTGAGCATTTATTCTAGATAAAAATCCTCAATTACATGACCACAGACTTCCCCACGGTTCTTGCTCCAACCAGGTCACAGAATGGTTGCTCACTTAGTGACAGAAGACAAAGCAGTAGACTCCTCTGAAGAAACAAATGAATTTTTCAGTTCTCACATGTTCACTACATAACTGAGTGACTCAGAATTCTCTCCAGAAGATCCCAGGAAATTTTGATTGTGGTGATTTTTCTTTTTCAGAGTGGAGAACCGTTGTGTAGATTTATACCAGAGCATCCACTTCTTTTGAGCCACTGATCTACGGGTGTAGGATTTGATTATGTATTCTTACATAATTGTGTCTATGTTCTGAGCAGATCTGCTACTATCTTGAGTTGAGCCTTCTGTAAATCAGAGACCAGTGGCTCAGGTTAAAAGTCAGAAAATGATGCACACAAAAGTAACAAACCCAATGTTAGAAGTTTTGATCAAATCACTTCTCATTTATTTGGAAGGGGAAAGAACTGAAAGCACAAAACCATCCCCTGTACTTTCAACACACGCCTTTTAATCTCCACACCACATAAATTACAGGTCCCACAGGCAACGCTAAAGTAAAGCTACATGGGACAAAATGATTTCCTACTTATGGAACAGGCTGAAGAAATCGAACTGCAGAGAAGAGACAAGAAGGGTCTGTAACCACTGGAATAACTCCTCTCCAACAGTGTGTGGAAGAGAACTTAAGATCTTCACTCTCACTATTCCCATCGCTATTCCCAGGTTTATTTGATAAAAACCAAATATATCTGAAACTTGGTGGCAAATCCCAGACATTCCTCAAGTTGAGTCCAACTTTTGTGCTGCAAGAAAACAAATGTACTCTGGGGAAGGGGGAGCGTACTACCAGCTATTCAGATGCTACTGTGAGTATACGATACAATGCCTCAAGCCACTATTTTTCTGCCCTACTTCACAGGCACCTTACACTATTATTGCCTTTCTTAGAACTGAAACAAATGCTAATCCATGACAGGTCAGACAGAAGGCATAGCACCCCACTGTAACACAGCATTCCTAAAATGAAACAAAACAAAACAAAGCAAAGCATAGTCACCTTTATCTTTACAAGTTACCATGTCAGAACACACAAACTGTGTTTTCTTCTAAGCACTGAGAATCTAAATTTACAGTCTTACTAATGTATTTGTCTTAATTCCAGTCTCCTTTCCCAGAGTTTGTTGCACCCTCCATCTTTGTATTACTAGTATGATACACTTGTTACATTCTCATTAGATAAAACTGGTATATACAATTTCTAACCACTGAGCGATTAATGCAAAAGATGTTCTATTTTTTGGAGTACTAAGGTTGCTTTAAAGGTGATATTTCCTGCTGTGAAACAGAAATGGTCTAAATACTTTAACATAAAATGTCTATGTGAGGATTTTTGCTTGGAAAAGCTGCAGAAATAGAGGAAAGCTACAAAAGACAGCTCCAATGCTTTGAAAGAAGTAGTACAGAAATGCTCTAACTTAAACCAGCACTTAGACAAGGCAGCTTCTCACAAAACTACTCCTGCCCCTGTCTTTTTTAAAAGGTCCAGATTTACTTTTTTATGAACCCAGAATTATGAGAAAGCACAGCCAGCAAAAGCTGGCAAAACTTTTGTAGTTTTTTTAAATAAATGAAGTATCATTCTCTGGAAAAAGGAAAACTATATTTTTACCTATGTAGAGTTAGAAAGAAACTATACTTTTCATTTAGCAAAATTCAGAGCATCCAGATACATGGCTCTATATACTTCCTGAATTACTGGAAATTACTTCAGAGGAATTGTCAGGACATGGGTCTAAACTATCATTGAACATCAGTCACAAATGTGTGCTTGAAGTCTTTAAAAAATATCCACAAAAAACCTCTAGTTCTACATGCACACTATAAACATGGTAAATGCCCAGTTAAAACAAAGAGACCGGATGGAAGAGGTGAAAAGAATGCAGGAATTCCTACTCTCAGGTAGGCACATCCATTAAAAAGTATCCATAAATGCAGATTTAGTATTTGCTGATCTTAGTATTTTCTAACAAGGATCATTTATTTGCAGCATCACATTCTTAAATCCCATTAATTCAGAATTACATTCAAGACAAGGAAGAGAGGAAGCACAGATGAAAGGTGAGACACAGCAATGGCACAGATCTCATTTCACAATGACTGGTAAAGACAAATTGGAACAGCCTTCTGTGTTTCATATAGGCATGCATTATGCTTTTACATTCACAATTTATCTGTACTAAAACTCGCTGGACAAAAATAACATCTTTCTGCAAATTCGTACCAGAAGGCTACCTTCCTAAATGCAAATTTTATTTGCTTACAAGGAATCTGAAAAACCCACAATGAATTAGGGCACTGTTGTGCTAGGCACAGTACAAAATCCCTGATACAAAGAGATAAGGTCTAAATAGTAACCCAGAAAATGGAAAAAAATCCAGATAATAGAAAACCAGCACAGCCTGTGATGACCAACAGGAGTGAACTGGTAGGACAAGTTAATGCTGATGACGTTGGGTCAGAGTGATGTCCACACTACACACACTTCAGAGGTTTCGTTTGCACTTGCCCTAGCTGTTCCCTTGAGCTGAATGACCATTTGCAACTGGAGTGCACCTTTCATCTTATCTTCATCTGAAAACCTCATTAACTCTGAGACCACTCTGCAATGGGAAGAGAGAAAACAAAGCAGGGAAAACAGGAAATTGGCTTCAAAAGCACATGCATAACCTCATCTAAAGCATTAATAACAGTTGCACTCACAATGATCTTAAGGAATCAAGCTCTGATCCATGAGAGTGGTTATTAGTTCTGATACGGCTCCAGAGCATTCTAAGACTCAAAAAGACTCCTGCAAAATAAGAGACATGTATGTGTTGTTCTCCCTAATGATTCTGTTCTAGGAAAGGAGATTGAGTGCAGTAGCATTCTGGAATTAACCTAGAGCCAGCTCAAATGCAACAGTCCACCCATGCTAAAAATTGCCCTGACTCGAGTGCAGGGAAAGAAAGTACTGACACATTCAAGTATTTCTGCTTAGATCAAAAGCAGAAGCAGGAGTTATTACCCAAAAGCAAGTGAGCTGGCCCTAGAAAGAGTAATGCTTTTTGTCCACAATGCTGTAGCCAACTTAACAACTCCTGTCAGACCGAAGATGGCTCTACACGGAGGTGTCTCTCCATTTGCAGTACAGTTTACTTGCAAGCCTTGGTAACACCTGACTGCATTTGAATGTCAGACACTCGTCCCATGCACGTTTATCTCCTACACATCCCATTCTTCTCCTTCATCCCACAGTATATCCGAACTGTCTAGATTCAGCTGCCTGGCATTTAGCTTGTTAAAGCACTCTACTTAACCTGCTGGAGATGTTAATGAATATTGCGAAGAAATCTGCGTAGGTTGGCGGGACACCAAGCAAAAATGGCCAAATGTAGCATATTCTAGGCATCTCAGTTCAATGATTTTAAGATAAAACACACTTTGTGGACCAAATGCCCCTGTAGAGCATCCCTGTTACCAAACTGTACAAAAGGCCTAATCTTCTGTCTTCACAATAACTACTGCAAGCTCACAATTCAACCTCTTAAGTTCCACAAGCTGTTTTGAGAGCTGTGTATTTTGAATGCCACTCACTGAAATCTTTCAGATTCATGGACTTGAAGCAAAGATACAACTAGCCTCAAAACTACCACTGCCTGACCATGGCTGACAAATTTGACTTCTAGAATCAGAAGAATATGAGTTCTCTATTTCTTAAATCTAGTATTTTACATTCATGGAAAAGCACAGATGCTTCAATTTTAGTACAAACCAAGCCACAATATTTCTCAGAGGCAAACAGAGGGACAGCGTGTTTTAACCTGCGTTAGACGACTCAGCGTTTTTGAGGCAGAATGGAAGGCAATGAAAGCTTGTGTTTTGAATAATTAGTTTAACTAGAATAGTAAAGTAGTCTGCGGTTTTACGCTTTCCTAAACTATCATCCATCCAGGCACCAGCTCAATTTCGCCACCCAAATCTCTACTCTTCAATGACCATTGGAACTTCTTCCAAAATCTCTGCTTTGAGAGGTTAATGAGCCACAAATTAAAACTAACATGAAAAATCTAACTCCTATCACATGTGACTCGCCCACCTCAGCAACCATTTAACACTGTGTTAACCTCCTCGCTCTCCCCAGTCTCATCTTTATTTAGATTGTTTTTATGTACGAAAATAGTTGTGACTGCAGTCAAAATTATGGTACTATATCAATAACTCCTAATATCTTTTAAAGTATCTCAATGAGAAAGATTTTTCCTCACATTTTTCTAAATGCTTATTGCTCCAGTGCAGACTGGAAGAGAATCAGGCTCATAATTAAAAATGTTAACGAGCACTCCTTTCCTCAAGTTGTCTATTCACACAAATTATGGGACAATGCACCAACCTGAATTACTTCCAGTAACTTTTCAAATACAAGTGTAATAACTTACAGCTTAAAGGAAACGTAAACATGTTTACCAGGTGTGATCTAGTCAGTGCTGCCTGAAATACACCTCCCTTGAGCTGAAATCAGGAAGAATAAGAAACTATTTCCCAACCTATACAGCTTGCTTACCTCCTCCTGTTTCGTGCAGGTGTGTTGCATCGTTCCCCTGAGAAGTGGTGTTGGTTGGGTCGAGCCAAAGGAGGCTGCCTATTTGATGTCATCTCCCATGGTCGCATTGGTGGTGATGGGGCTGGTGACGCTGCTGTATAGTCAAAGACTGAATGGGAAAGGCGCTGTCGCTTGGGACTAGGACTGTCTTCGCTCTATGTCAGTGCAAAGAAAACAAAACAAAAACAAAACCCACCTCCAGATGAGTGAATTACAAACCGTATCTCACTACTGCTTTGAAGCTAGCATTAGGAGGGACTTCATTGAAGACTGCACTAAAACACCACGAAATTAAAATCTTGCAAGTAGTTGCTTATTTATTATCTTTGTAACACAGATTTGTGATGCCTTTCTAATCTCTAAAAGAATTACTAAGTTATATTTCAGCAGAATTAGAAGATAAAAATTCTAACATTCATGCAAAACCAAAACTAGATCAAAAACCAAAATAACATGAAGAATATACAGCACAACCTATTTTACATCCCTCGTGCCTTAGCATTTGTAAGGTACAGAGGCATGGAAAGATGTAGAAGCACAGTCTTCACAGCAACAGAATCTGGACTTGTCAGTACGGAGACATCATACAGAGCTTGCACTCTGCACTGCATCCCTTTCCTATCAGGTCTGTACTAACATAGCTAATCAAACATTTGCTCTGTACTGCAGCCTATTTTAATTCTGCTAGCTCAGCACAGAGGTGCTTCATCCTTCCACTTATTAGTATAATAATGGTCACTGAGAAGTACTTATGCAACCCGAAAAAAACCTAAACACCAATCTCCAGTTAAGTCAGTGTACTTAATTAAAATTCTGCAGTGACTATATAATGCCTAGAGTTTTCAGTGCTAGTGATATGAAGGCCATTCACCTCCAAGTAACGCTCTCCCAGCTGGTTCTGAACACAAGTAACTACCTTTCCTCTTCATTGTATGTCCATGCTATTGAATCATTAAATAGAGCTGTCATTCTTCTCAAAAGTTCCCACAGATGTCGCTGAATCCAGCTGCAAATGCAATAAACAACTCTCCCCTTCACCTCACTATTCTGCCAAAACTGTAACATATCATGCTGTTAACATGCGTTAACAACTGAGAATATAGAAAAATACAATTTCTACTCCAGAGCTCACCGACGGAACACACAAAAAAAAGCAACACATGAACTACCACACTGGATTCATCCTTGAGTCCAAATATCACACAGACTTCTCTGACACAACACTCCTTGGTACAAGCTAAATCGTAGCGTTTTGCTGCTCTCCAGCTTGTCCACTCATGTCCCACTACTTCCAGTTCAGTCCATCACAGCATTATTTCAATTAACCGAAATGACGACAAATTTGCATTTAGTTGCAGATGGCTGATGCAGAGAAAACTGAACTTCTCTGCAATGGCTTTGTATTCTTAAACTGCCCCTCTCAGAGCCCGGTAATCCACAGGTTGTTAGAGGTCTTATTTCAGATTTACTTGTTGGTTAGACTATGGACCTCTTCTGGTTCTTAGCTTTACGGGGGCTTTGCACTTAACACTACCAGTTGCTTCTTGAAAGGTTACCATTGACATACAGTTTGTCCTTCAGTGTTCTTTCCAGTGCAATCATGCGAAAAAATGGTATTCTTCCTCTCTTTTGACTTGTGGTCATTTTTACTAAATTTCACTCCTTTTCAGGCCCATGCTTTCAAGTATTTCAACACAAATTGCAGTTTTCCCCTACTATATCTCATCTCGAGCAGTTACTAGTAACAATTAAGGAACAGAAAAAGGTCAAAACCAAAACATCTCAATAAAAGCACAAACATAAAGTACATAGAGGTGTCCATTTTTAATTCTAATCTTTTAGATGACAATGCATATATTTGCTTGTTGCTCAACCTCTTTTGAACTCCTTAGGCAACTGCACTTCAATTTTATAGAGAAAAATAAGTCAAAAGCCAGGAATGAACCTGTAGGCTCATGAAAACAGATGCCCAGGCAAAGCGTGACTATTCCAGAAGACCGTTTGCCCTCAGGAGCTCAACACCAAAAAAACGGAAGAGATAACTGAGAAGTGCTTTGAGAGTAAAGCTTCTGCAAAAATAAGTACTTGTCAGATTTCAGAAAGTATTTGTTAGATTTCAGAGAATCTCGACAAAGGACAAATCATAAAGAAACTATGCTACATTTGTTCTGCCATTCAGAGTTGCTTATTTAATCTGTTTTACTGTTGTGATAGAACAAGTCAGGGAGAAGGATCATTTGTGGCCCAACCTGGAGCTTTCAGGATGGGAGAGGTTTTTACATCATGACAACTGAAGCCTATTCAAATAAAAATACAGGTAATAAAAATGAAGGTAAATAAGGTATGCTGAGGTCTTGGGAGCGCAAAAGGAAAAGTCGAATGAAGGAATCAATCAAGGGCTTAGTGAAGCTGGCAGAAAACAAAACACTGAAATAATAAAATAACTAGTACTGTCTGCTACATTTTATACATGCCTTTGGCTGGGGACCCGCCCTAATTTAAATCTGACACCTTGTGCAAGCATTAACACTAATATACTCTGCCCTACAGAGTCTACTTTGGAAAAACAATTCTTCAATTATTTTTCCTTTTGACTGTGGAGTCCACCACTTCAAAGACAGCGGAGATAGTGCTAACTAGTTAACCTTCACCATCACTTCCAATTACTAACTTGCACAGCTATTTCAAACTTCGTAATAAGTGCTAATTGCCCTCTGCACTAAGCAACTGTATTTTCACTCAAAATTGTTTCCCATCAGAAAGAAAATCAAGATAAAATGATTTTTGGAACTAAATGCAAGTATAGATTTAAAATGTAATCATGTCTTTTTCTGTACTGAAAAAGAAGTAACCTGAAGCTAAGCCAAACTTACTTGCAAATGGATGTCATAAGAAAAAGCCAACACAAACCTAAACTCAAAGGAGATTTAGTGTTTTATCTTAGTTTTTATTAAAAAAACAATTCTCACATGGTGATTGTAGCAAGGTAATACTAGGATGTGGGAAAGTACAGAGAGCTAATAACAGCCATCTATCCTGTACAATTCAAGATTTGTTTTCATCTTATTTTCAACAAGCATGTGCAATAACTACATATTGCCATTATAATTTTGCAATCTACATTATTATTGGTGATTAAGTTCATAGAATGGTTAGGGTTGGAAGGGACCTCAAAGAT